TTTGGTATCCTCATCGCACCTTTTTCAGCAAAGATGAATTGACGGGTAGGTTGTGAATTAAAATTTCAATGCTTTCTCTTTTCCATATGGACAACTACTACTGTCTGCCGTCCTGTCTGTAGCGCTTATCATTTTGTTTTGTAATATAAATTCCTTTAATCTGTTACTTCTTACACACAAAAATTATCCGGAAAACCCGACTTGAAAGTCCTTTCTGTATCCTGTTTGGACTCCAAGAAAGGTCGGGAAAGGGGCGTGAGACAGAGAGGGATCAGCAAGATGGCGGTGGGAGGTTTCGCCGTTGATGGACCCGTCAGCAACTTCAACAGCAGGATCACGGCGTCGGTGGTGATCACCTGCATCGTGGCTGCATCAAGCGGCCTCATCTTCGGGTACGATATAGGAATTTCAGGTGCGATTTCGATGAGCTTTGATTAATTAATTTCCATCATTTTTCTTTTTACACATTTAAAAAAAATTAATTTCCAGCTAAATTAAAAGAAGAAAATACTGGGTCATACTCTGGATGTGTTCATTTTTTTTCTTCGGTAGATGGGATCTAATGCATTAAGTTGCATAGCTTTTATGAACACGACTCGTTTGATTCGAACCGTTTCAGTGAATAAACGAAACAGAGTTTTCGCACTTTGTTTTCATTTTACCCAATCCCTTTACCTGAAACTGAAACTCAAGGAAATTCTCCATGCAATAATTAAAGGACAAATAAAAAATTTCAATATATTGTGTGTGAAATCAAAAAATAATAATAATTTAATCAATTTTCCTTTTTTTTTTTTTTTTTTTTAACATTTGTCTTTGCCTATATCCATCATAAGATAAGGTTTGGTTGAGGCTTTGGACTTCAGGATATTAGTGGATATTAGTGAGTGTCCTTTTGACTGTTAAAACAACCATAAACCAAATTCTTTGACTTTTTCTTTTTGTTTTTTTTTTTTCCTCCACCAAGAAAATTAGAATTATTTTCTTTTTTGAAAGTGACATTTATTTTCAATTTTTATATGAGATTTGGTACGAATAAATATATAATTCCTTAAAAGAATTTTAATTAAAGATATAATTTTTTTTATTAATCAAGATTATAATCTTTTAAAAGTTGATATTTTTTCCCGTTCATTTTTAGTAAATATAATACAATTTTTTAATTTTTTATATATAAATTTTAAATAAAAATTTAATAACTTATATAGATAATAAATGAAAGAATTTTTTTATATATAGAGTTTTTATTGAGTACATTAATTTCTTTAAAAAAAATTTATATTATTATTTATATAATGAATTTGAAATTTATGTATGAAAAATCAAAAAGTCAAACTAAATGTATTAAAAATAAATGAAGGGAGTACAATTTTGTTAATTAAAGCTATTATCTTTCAAAAGTTTTTAATCAATAATATAAACTTACACATCTACTTACTCGTGTTTTTTTAAAAAATTATAAAATTTATATTTTTAATTAAAAACTTTTAAAAGATTGTAACCTAATTAATAAAAAAAATTTAAGTCCTTAATTAAAAACTTTTAAAAAAATTGTATTTTTATTTAGGTCAAATCTCTTTTTTTTTTTTTAACTAAATATCCTTTTAAAAAAATTTGTTCATAACATTTAAAGGTTTTAATTCACTCCAGACTTCTGGTCATCACTAGGATTAATTAGAATAAAAATTACCGCACACTTGATTCAAATTATGATACCTTTGCGTCAGGGTAAATACCACTGGAAACGAGCTCACGAGGGGAACCAAGTATATTATGTAGTTAATTTGTTTGAAAATACCTATTAGCTTTTGTTCTTAAAATTGAATTTGAATGAATTATTAGCTAATTGATAGTCAACTAATTGATATTGCCTATCAATTAGCTATTCCCTAATTAAATCGAAGAACGTCATGCATTTCGTCATCGATCTTTAACTAAAGAAATTTATGGTTTCCACTACATATTCAGTTTATTATCATCATACTTGAACTTTCATACTAGTATCTGAACTCCCAACCATCTTCTTCGTCTCCTAAGCTTGAATTGTCCATATTTTCTCTTGAATTATCCATTCTTATAACTCAAATTTCTGTCAAGTTGAATAGAAGAAGTGTTTTTTCTTTGTCATTCTCACATATAAATTAAATCAAAATAATTGCTTGAAATAAATGCAAAAACTGAAATTATTATTGGTTTCATATTATGAAACATCAAAATATATTAATTTCCTAGACTTTTTAAAGTCAATGAATTATGATGTATTTGGGATTGCTGTAAAATGTTATGACTGGAGTTGTGGTTATAATAGTGCTAAATTGTTTTGTATTATAACTATAACTGAAAGTTATTTTGATATTTGGTTATTTATTTTTTAAAAGTATTATGGATGAAATATTATAAACTTTATAATTATTAATTAAAATTTTAAAAATATT